CTTCCAAGGGTTGGTGGAAGCTTGGGAGAGTTACCATATTACTAAAATGTCCAGACACCTAGTTGGGAGAAGTGGAAGATGGAATGATTTAGGAACATTAAGAAAACATATTTACACCGGGGTTTTTTTTTTTTTTTTCTTTTTTTCTTTTTTTTTTTTTTTTTTTATAATTATATTTAAATTTTTTTATCTGGATTTTTTGTAGATTCAAAGATAAGAAATGAGAGAAAGAGGGGAAAAGAAAGAAGAGTAAGTGGTAAAACTGGACTATAAGAATAAGAGATGGAGTGTAGAATTACAGGAAAAAGAGAACATGAGGAAACTGTACCATGTTTTTGTGTTTTTGTGTTTTTTTTTTTTTTTTTTTTTTTTTTGGACCATTAGAATAATGAAGTTGGAGGAAGAGAGTAAAAGAAGGAAGTGAATAAGGACTGGAAATTGGGAACATATTTTTTTTTCTTTTTTCTTTTTCTTTTTTTTTTCTTTTTTATATTTTTGGAAAGATGGAAAAAGATAGCACAGAAAGGAAATTGGAACACTGGAGGAGAGATGGGAATACGCTTGAATAGAAAAAATTACCAGACTGGTTCATCCTCCTCAACACCTTGCATCGGCTCGTGATCCCCGGAGTGCTCTGGATCCTCGTAGTTGCTGTCTTCCTCGTAATCCTCATCGCCGTCGGATTCATCGTTGCCTCCATCTTCTTCAACAAAATTGTCGTTGTACAAATCACCGGCATCGCCCTCTTCAAAGAACTCGTCCTCAGAAGCATCCGGGCTGGGACCGTCCAAGTCAATTCCTTCCCCTTCTTCATCATTGCCTTTGCCTTTGCCTTCTTCATCACCAGACTCTTCGCTGGTCGTTGATCCAACAAGTCCGTAGGGTTCAGCTAGTTGTTCGAAGTATAATCGGGTGAGTCTTTTGAGCTTTCGTGAGGATGTCGCTGAGTCTTTGGAAGTAGTGATTCATTTGCGTTCGGAAGGAATGCAACATTTGTAAGATCTGGTATGAGCTGTTGCTGAGCCGGTGTCAGGTTGTGATACCATTCAGGGTCGTAAAAGTCGATCGGAAGACCCTTTGGTGCAGCTGTGTAAGCTGAAGCCTCTGGGTTCTTTGGTAATTTGCGTATACGGCGACGCTTGCTTGGATCCTGCTCGGCTGCTTTCAACATGCGGATGTCCAGGCGACGAAAAAACCGATTGGCGTTTTTCGATCGATAAGGTAACGTCTTGATCTTGAAAAAGCCTTTTCCCTCCTGCACCTCATCGTCGCTATGAGCCGCAATCGGTGTGAGGATCTTGATGTATCGCTGGGGGAATTTGTTGAGTGTCGCAAATTCTAATCTGCTGGCAGCCAGCTAAAATAAAAACATTAGTATGTGAAAACGAATCCTTGAAACTGATGCAACTTGGAAGAGTGACTTACTCGCTCGCGATTCTTCTGGACGTTCTTGTGGTGAACTTCTTTCTGGAGTTTGCCCTTCTCTTTATTTTCTTTTTTGTATTTATCTAACATTAGAAAGTGAACAAAGTGGTTGTAACATTGTATCAGAAAGCCCATGTTTTGAACCGCTTCTGGATTGATGTTGAGATAAGCATAAGCTTTCGCGCCGGCAAGTTCCTGGAATGTTGTGACAGCAGCAATTCGACAAGCGGCGTTGTATAACGAATCGCAATCCTCCTCGAGATTTGGCCGCCATTTTCTGAAACCCAAACGAGCCATGAGTCCCTTGGCGTATCGAATAAAATTGTCTCCCACATTAAGGTAGGAGTTTCCGATTCGAATACGCCCAGCGCGAGCGTCCTTGAGAATTTGAACTTGATTGATGTCAATCAGTTCACGACCAGATGAACCGAAACTAGCTGCTTGATTGACGTGGTCCTCCCTCGAGAAGTTGTCGTAGAATTCCTGTAGATCCCTCAAATCAGGAGCTTCGGGGACCGAGTCTGATTTCAAGAGCCCCCAGAGTACCTTTATATGAATAAAAACTGCGTTCTAAATGACGAATGATTTAGTTTTTATTTCTGGAATGAAAAAAGAAAAAGAAAAAAAAAACTTGCCTTGGTGCCAGCATAGGATGCTGGAAAGTCACCAGTTTGCATCTGTCGAGGATTCCGCTTTCGTGCAGGGGCCTTCGCAGGTGATTCTTTGGTTGACTTGCGAGGCTTTTTCGGCTTCTCGATAACGGCAGTGTTGATTTCGGGGGGAGCGGATCTGGCGCGGTCAAATCTTCTGGAGGTTGATGCAACAGGAGGGGGACTTTTCGATGGGGTGATCGTGACCTTCTTAGCGGCGGGCGCCTTTCCTTTGGAGGCTGATTTGTGGGAGCTCTCGGGAGCAACCTTTCGCGAGACTGGAGTGGCTTTCGGGGTTGAAGTCGGCTTGCTTTTCTTCCCGCCTGCTGCTGATTTGAGAGAGACATCGACAGCGGCCTTGACGATTTGTTCGATTTGGGCTTGAAGCGTGGCTGGTGGGATGATGGCAGGCTGACTAGCTTGGGACTGGTTGTTATTCGCGCCGGCGGGGTCAGATGAACCCCAAGGATTATCCATGAGTTTGTTGCTTGTAAGGTTGATGACGGGTATTTGCGGAGCACTAGGTATGTATGTAGACGAAATAGAAGAAAAAGTCAGATGAGAACGTGGATGAAAAGAAAACGGCGAAGTATAGAGAAAAAACGGGAAACTACTTACTTGATTGAAGTGATCGAAAGATCAACTAGCCAGAGCCTGCGACTTGAACAATTCAAATAAGCTCGGATGTCGCATCAACTCGACAGCTGTCGCATTCGAGTTCACGGGTGTCGCTGCGGGTGTCGGATACCACCAACCTAAATTTGTGCGCTGCGACCCGCAGTCGCTTCACACGGAAGCGACAAGCAGATGACCGTAGTGTGAGCTAGCCGGGCCATGCTGCGGAGCGCAGCTGATGCCATCTCGTAGCGCCCCAAGTCGTCACACACCAATGACGCAACCGGCTATTTGATCGCATTGACGTTCACCGTTTAAAAGGGCTCTGGAGTTTGTGCCCATTGCCCATAGAGTGAGCCTGAAAGGATACGCTCTTTGCACAGATAGGTCTCACTAGAATGAATCTTTCTTTGTTTGGTGCGC